CGGTGTACAACATGTAAAAACAATCTACAAAAACATACAATATAACAACAACCGAATTACACATTAATCTAAGTTACACTAATAGATCCACGCCATCACAACATAGAATCATAGCCAATCTCATAATCCATAGTCCGTTCCAAATATCATTACCAAATTCGTGTAGGTCTCAATTAAATGTCTTCTCGAATAGCCAGGTCTTTAGGCTCTTACGAAAAGCCATCAGGGAGGGCGCCTGTCTGATGTCAACAGAGAGGGTGTTCCACAGCCGGGGGGCCACCACTGAGAAGGCCCTCTCTCTCGTCCCCGCCAGACGTGCCTGTGAGGCGGGCGGGATCGAGAGAAGGGCCTCCCCGGATGATCTCAAGGCCCTCGTGGGCTCAACTTGCATTTTTAAAAATCCAAACTTCTTGGATATAAAGATGATTTCAATGTAGTCTGGACTTGTCATTACTTACCCATCATCCCCAGTTAATATGTCCAAGCCAAGACTTCAAAGGATGATGGTACCTATAGCTCAACATATTTGGGGAAGCCTCACTATGTCCCGATCCTTGTAGGTCAATTCTGCATTTATGTGTATTCAGGGGCCTCATCACACTAGAGAAAAAAATCAACTTAAAACCCGATTTATACCTCCTGCAGAATTCTGGGGTTTGTAGTTTAGGGCCTCACTAAACTATAAACCCCAGAATTCTGCAGGAGGCAGAAACCAGATTTTAAGTGGATTTTTTTCTCAAGTGGGATGAAGCCACAGGTATACTCAGTTGAGTTCAGTGGTGCTTGCTTTTGAAGTAAATGCACAGATAATGGTCTAAATACATTTTTTTAAAACCCAAGGGATATAATCCCAATATTTCATCATGCTAGTAGATGACTGTTTTGTTCCTGCTCTCTCCAGAGACCCCCTTGCTCAAAGCAATATCATTTCTACTTATAGTGCAACACTAAACATTTGTATTCAGAATGATAAATTGTTTGGAGCCAGGCAGCCAGTATAGGATTTTGTTTCTAAATGACACTGTGGTTTGAATTGCTTCTAACTAGTGTCAAGCATTTTGGTGAGATTTAAAATCCCAAGTGTCTCCTACTAAATCTGTGTGATGCTGGAAATACCTAGTTCAAAGCCATTTTTTCTGTGCTTCCAAATCACAAAGCCATATTGTCCTCTGTCCCCTTCTCCTCGCCACCCCCTTCACTTTGTTTCAACACTTTGAATACAAAAGCTTGCTAAAATGGTTTGACTACATGAGACATCTAAAATCTTTCTTTAGCAACAGTCAACAAATGTTCAAAGAGGCAAGGGGAAAACATGGGGTTGGAGAAGGCTTTGCTTAGCATACAAAGAGTGTGTTTTTTCTTCTTCAAGAGGAATGTTGCCTTGTCAAAAGCTCTGGGATCAGCTGTTTAATGAGTCAGAAGACTTCTAGTCGAGCACAGCACAAAAGCCTCCTTTCCCAAACTAGTCCAAGTTTCTCTGTTGGAGCAGCTACAACATCAGCAGCATTTGTTGTTTGTTCTGTTAGCAATTATGATAGTTGGAGCATTGCCATGTTACTCTTCCTCTTTAAAAGCCCTTAAAAACTTTAACTTCACAACATTGCAACAAAGCTTTGTCCATTTTTTTTTTTTTTTGCTGAAAGGAGCTTATATTTTTCCTGTTTATTTTACATTTTCATTATTATTCTTTTATGGTCACAGTAACAGCTGGATGCCATGCAAATACAACTACAAAACTCCATGAGTATTTTTGTGTCAACTTCTCTTAAATCCCCCTCTCCAGTTATCATTTTAAATAAAATGCTTCTAAATTTTGTACTCCTATCTGTCCATATTTAATTTAGGGGCACAATCTAGTTAGATTTAAGCACTTCAGATCTAGTAGTCTCAACAGTCAGCTATAGACTTTACTTACTTGTTGAAAGCAATAGGACTGGAACTGAATTTCATGTCTATGCCTCTCTCTCCAAATTGCAGTTCAGCACAGATAACGAATACGTTGTTCCCCTAATCACAGTGGTTCTCCCCAGATTGCTTTCTACTTATTTTATTGTGAAGGAATAAGTACTATTTCCTGTCATGGGGAAAAGTAAATGATTGTAATTGAAGATACGGTTGTGAAAGCAAAAAAAAAAAAAAAACTTAGGTGGTGTGGCTGTAGGCACACAACATACATATGTAACTAAAATATACAAATCACACCTTGATTGCATGTACTACACAGAGACTTTGCATCATCAGCATCTTACTATCATGTGGATATAAAACAAATGACATAAGAAACTAGTTCCCAGGGATCTGTTCAACTAAAACAAAGTTAAAATCATATGTTGTTGAACTGTAGCTCCCAACAAATCTTGTCAGCTTTGCAGATGACTCAAAACTGGGAAGGGTAGCCAACACATTAGAAGATAGGGTCAGAGTTCAAAAGGATCTAGAGAAATTAGAAAATTGAGCAGAATTTAATAAAATGAAATTCAGTATAGACAAATGCAAAATTCTATATTTAGGACACAAAAACCAAATGCACGTGTTTATTTATTTATTTATATTCCACTTTTCTCACCCTTGTGGGGACACAAAGCAGTACACAGCAAAGTCAATGGTAAAATTCAATGCCTCACACAAAATATAAAATAACTAAAATAGCATATAACAATAGATTAAAACCAATAAACTGTAAAACATCAGACATCAACGAACATAGAACATGTAGAACATTAGACATTGCGCCAATCCTGAGTACATTAGACATTGCGCCAATCCTGCACACACACACAATTTTCTTGTACTGCAGTGCTTTAAAACAAAGTGTTCCTTTGAAGAGTAGATCTCTCTTCTTTCCAGCTCCCATGACTTTCCATCAGTTGGGTTTATCACTTACCCTCGCCCCATTTTCTAGCTACAGAACAAGTTTTTAAAATGAGATTGCATGTTTGCATAGATAAGATGGTGACCTTAATCACAATGGTGGGGATCTAGGAAAGAGGAAATTCTCCAGGTCCTTCACTCTCTTCACTTTGCCTTGAGCCTATGTTTTAGTTCTTATCATATTCATGGTTTTTCAATATTCATCTCTCTTCTTTCCACAGCGTGTGACTTGCCACTTTGAGGTGTATACTGTTCCTTGGACAAACAGTATAACCCTGAAGAAAAACAACTGTCAGTAAACATGTATTTACTTGGATCAAGAGAGCAAGCTGCTGCTCTGAAAATATTTCCCCTTTTCACAAAGAGCAATAATTCAGATGCTTTCTCAAGCGAAAGGGTTAGCTGCTAACTTGAAATGCTTACATATACTTGTTTGAAACAAGTAAATTCATATAGTGTTCTTTTAAAAATATTTGCTGTTTCTTATTGTTAATTATTTAGTTTGTAACCAGTATTATCATGCTTTCTTAGAAGGGGAAAAAATAAAACTTTACGTTGTCAAGGTGTGAAATATATTGTGTTGTGTTTTTGAAAAATTGTGTCCTGTTTATATTTTTTGCAAAGACAATAGTAGCATTATGGTTGTCATAGCCTTCAATCATGTGATTACTATTTATGATGAACAAGTTTTGTGAGTGAGTATCTAATCTATCTATTTTTACCAGAGCAAAAGACTATGTTCCTGAAACCACACGGGAGCCTCTGTCATATTGTATCAAACTGTGTTCATCACCCACCAATTAGAAACATGTTTTCAGACACTAGTAGGTTCATGTTAGCATTACCTTAGAACAGGGGTCCTCAAACTAAGGCCCGAGGACCAAATACAGCCCTCCAAGGTCATTTACCCAGCCCTCGCTCAGGGTCAACCTAAGTCTGGAATGACTTGAAAGCACAAAACAACAACAACAATCCTATCTCATCAGCTAAAAAGCAGACCCACACTTCCCATAGAAATATTAATAAGTTTATATTTGTTAAAATTGTTCTTCATGTTAATTATGGTATTGTTTTAAAGTATTTTTGCACTACAAATAAGATATGTGCAATGTGCATAGGAATTCATTCATGTTTTTTTAAATTATAATCCAACCCTCCAACAGTTTGAGGGACTGTGACCTGGCTCTCTGTTTAAAAAGTTTGAGGACCCCTGCCTTAGAAAACCATAATTCATTGTTGTTCCTTGCTACTTTCTTGCTGAAAGATTACTTCAAAATATTTTTATCATATAAAATAAACTAAATGGCCAGGAACCTCTCAAAATGACTCATCACACTGTACGTGGACAAGCAACATTCTTGTCAGATTGCTTCCCTGTATGCCATAATTCATGAGTGCCATGGTAAACTTATTTGGAAGCAAAGCCCACTGAGATCTGAAGACTGTAGAGTCAAGATACAGTTAGGAGTCTGTTCTGTTGTCTTGTGGAAGTCTCTCAGCAAAAATGCATACAGTTACATTGCAAGTTGCAATAATTTTTACCATTTAAATCAGTGGTTCCCAACCCTTTTTTGACCACTTTGACCAGAGACCACTCACCAACATTAGTACCAAAAGGGTTACAAATCAGTTTTTGGTCAACTGTAGATTCAGTTTGGTTATTTGGGGAGCCACAGGTTCTCTACTGCAGGTTGAGCTGAGGGCTCTACAAATGTTGACAAGTGTACTTTTTTTTAATCGTGTCAGAAGCGACTTGAGATAACTGTACGTCGCTTCTGGAGAATTGGCCGCCTGCAAAGATGTTTCCCAGGGGATGCCCGAATGTGTTACCATCCTGTGGGAGGCTTCTCTCATGACCTGCATAGGAAGCTGAGGCTGACAGATGGGAGCTCACAGATTCAAATTGCCGACCTTCAGGTCAGCAGTTTATCTGGCATAAGGGTTTAACCCATTGCAACACCATGGCTCCTGACAAGTTTAATGACAGAATAGAATCATAGCGTTGGAAGAGACTTCATGGGCCATCCAGTCCAACCCCTGCCAAGAGGCAGGAAAATCACATTCAAAGCACCCCCGACAGATGGTCATCCAGCCTCTGTTTAAAAGCTTCCAAAGAAGGAACCTCCATCACACTCTGAGGCAGAGAGTTCCACATACTTGTATGAAAGGCTTTGTTAAAGATGGTGAAATCAAACCGGATAACCAAAATAGATTTTGTCCCTAAGGACCAAATTCCTTGCTGCTATCCACTACATGTATATCAGCTGAAGTACTATTTGCTGCTCTGCATATTAGAGAAGGTTGCTCTAAACCAGGGATTGTAGAAATACAAGCTTTCTGATATTAGTGTAGTTTCCATCACCCCAAAATAGGACGGCCAGTACTTTGGAATTATATTGTTAGAAGGCCTGCATATTGTTTATTCCTTCCCTGAAGAGGAAAGGAAAGAAGACTCTCTGTTGCTTGGGTTATATGTCTTCAAAATATTTCCTACTTGTGGCAAACCCATTATATAGTTTTCTTCGCAAGATTTGTTCAGAGGTGGTTTGCCTTTCTCGAAGGTTAGGGAGTGACTTGGCCAAGGGCACCCAGTTTCCAAGGTCGAGAGGGACTTGAACCTTGGTCTCCAGAACCATAGTCTCATCTTCAAACTGCTATGCTACATTGGCTAGCCACTCAGTAGGAGTCCTTCACATACACATGCAACATGACTATTGCCATCACATGTACAACATTTGACAATTGATCTTGGTCTGTTGGTGAATGAGCCACATGTGAATGGAAGTGAAATCCAACATGGTAGCCTTGATGAGAACTGACATCTGAGTAAAAATATGTTACAGAGAAAGGGTAGACTATAGAAAGGAAACCCAGTTTCAGTATCTGTTTTATGTCTTCTACAGTGTATTGACTTATTTGATGTGAACACATATACACAGCAAAGCGATTCTGCCAGAAAATTAGGAGTGTTTATAAACATTTAAAGAACTCTCTGATACGTAAGACTAGCTTGGTAATCCAACACACATTTACTATAGAATAAGCCCCATTGAACACAATGAGACCTGTCTACATTTCTATTGGTTCTGTCTCCAAGATCGTCAAGCAATGCACACACTCAAAAAGGATTGAGGAAGCAAGAAGTGAAATGCTGCCTTGGCAGCCATCTTATTTGTTAATGGAAGAAAGGTGGGATATGGATTTAATTACCCATAAGAAGAAAACCCAAAGGTCACAGTCAAACTGTGAGGAACTTTTAATTAAATTCCAGTGATTTACTAGCACTAATAAACACACTCCAAAGTCATATTAAAGCAAAGATGCTGGGGTTTTGGTTTTCTCAGAACCGCTGGAATTATTATACTTGCTTATAAAGACTTCAGTTGTTTCACCTTCCCCATATTTATAGATCATTAATAACCCAGCTAGTTCTGCCATTGGCACAGTTGGCAAAACAGTACCAGATATAGGCATGAGTCACTTTGTGCAAGGGCACATTTGTCCATGCCATAGATCAATGACTTAAGGCTGATATGGATTTTGAGAGTTAGGACAGAGAAGGGTTATTTGATGTACTGTCGAAGGCTTTCATGGCTGGAGTCACTGGGTTGTTGTATGTTTTTCGAGCTGTATGGCCATGTCCTAGAAGCATTCTCTCCTGCCGTTTTGCCTGCATCCTCAGAGAGTGTCACCTCTGAGGATGCTTGCCACAGATGCACGCGAAATGTGAGGAGAGAATGCTTCTAGAACATGGCCATACAGCCCGAAAAACCTACAACAACCAAATGTTATTTCCCTGGTTGTTTTCATTCTGGGTCCTTGGAATTAATGGAAAATATCCATCATTTATTCTGGACTTCAGGCATGCAAAGCATGGGATCTATGTGTAAGCTATATACCCTTCCTATTTTCTAGTCCTTGGAATCTGCGCAATGTAACAGATGACAGGTATGAACCCACAACTTATCAGGACTTTCTCAAAGACCAGAACAAACCATGTTTAAGCCACAATGATAATATCACTGAGATTCAAATACACGCAATGTTCCTTCCCATTGCATTAGATAATCCATGACATCTTCCTTCCCATTGCATTAGATAATCCATTTAATAACATCTCATTTATTAAATGATACCCACAGGTATCAAAAGATTCACAGGTAAATTGGACTAACCAACATTTAGACCAGGGGTCCTCAAACTTTTTAAACAGAGGACCAGGTCACAGTCCCTCAAACTGTTGAAGGGCCAGATTATAATTTGAAAAAAAAAAACACACACGAATGAATTCCTATGCACACTGCACATAGTTCATTTGTAGTGTAAAAAACACTTTAAAACAATACAATAATTAAAATGAAGAACAATTTTAACAAATATAAACTTATCAGTATTTCAATGGGAAATGTGGGCCTGATTGTGGCTGAAGAGATAGGATTGTTGTTGTTGTTCTTGTTGTGTGCTTTCAAGTCATTTCAGACTTAGGTTGACCCTGAGCGAGGGCTGGGTAAATGACCTTGGAGGGCCGTATTCGGCCCCAGAGCCTTAGTTTGAGGACCCCTGATTTAGACCATAAGACCATACTGTCTCTTAGACAAGATATGGGTACATTAGGATTGAGGTGTGATGCTGGTTTTGGATGGGTTTACTGCAGCAAATTAAGATGATTATATTTATGTAGTACTTTATATACCCGAAAGAGGTCTCCAAATAGTTTATAAAAGGCTGGAAAAAAATGATTTTGGAATTATTTTGGATTTTGGAAGTATTTTGGAAGACCCTTTAAAAACATCCCTCAAAACCCTCTCTGCCTTCCTTCCCATTATCGAAAAATGAATGAAAACTTGAGATGGTCTAACAGACCACATTTTTCATTAATAAAACAAACCTTTTTCAGGCTTATACTACTTCTGACTGCATATCGGAGCCATGTGAATAAATGATCATGCATGGATGTATTATGCATGCTCAGAAATTGAGAAAAGCAAATTTCCCAGTATTTGAAGAGAGACGTGGCCTTAAACGGCCACATGAGGGAACCAAAGAGGAAGAATGGGAAAAGAGGTGCTTAACTGTCTCACCTTTCAGCTAGATCAGTCATGGGCAAAGTTCGACCCTCCAATTGTTTTGGACTTCAACTTCCACAATTTCTAACAGCCTACTGGCTATTAGGAATTGTGGGAGTTGAAGTCCAAAACACCTGGAGGACCAAAGTTTGCCCATTCCTCAGCTAGATCCAAGTAGGATGGTCCAAGCTAGAATGCACCCATCTTGGTTCCTCTGCACATCTCATTCCAGGAATGTGGGAGGGTTGCTTTTAAGAAGGACCAATTGTTTTCTTTTCAGTTCCCGATGAGGCCATTTAAGGACATTTCTCTCTATTCAGTTCTTTCTGGGGAACATGGAGCTCCTGTCTTACTATTCTGAATTAATACCCATCCTCTTCTCATTGTGCCTATAGGATCCCTCTCAGTCGCCATCTGAGCTACCTATCCCCATGTCTCAGTCGTACTTTTAAATATTTGGGAGCCTTCCAACCAAAAAACTTTCCTGATTAAAATTTT